TGCCTGGCCCTCGCAGACAGCCAGTCAGGACGCGATGCCTGGCCCTCGCAGACAGCCAGTCAGGACGCGAGCGTTTCTAAGAAGCTTGGTTTGTTTGGGGGAGGGGAGGGTTGCCAGTGCCCATTCCTCAACAAGTCTGTCGTCTTGTTCTAGAAGTTTCCCGCTTCATGGAAATGAAGTCCCCATCGTTCCAGAGAGGGTCCTGGTGGGCCTGGTGGAGGCTGAGCGGGGGGCTGGGGTAGGTGGCGGGACCGCTCACTTCGCGGCACAGGCCTCGTGGCGTAGGACTGGGCACACGCGGGCAGTAAAGCAGAGAGAGGGCACGCACACGCGTGGTGACTTCGTGCGGGGACTCGTTGAGACCCAGAGCCCTGGGGGGAGGGGGTCACAGGCTCTGGGGGGCCCCGACCCCTGGGACGCGGTGGTTGGGTTCAGGGGTACCTCTTCCTCCTGAGCTTTGTCACTTGGGAGCCCGGGCCTCTGGAGCATCTGGAGGTGGCTTAGCTGAGGGCGTGTGCCACTCCAGGCCTCTCTGGTCCAGGACAGCCGCCAGCTCTTGGGTCCCCCCGCCAGGGCGTGAGGTGCAGTGCCGCCACCACCTGACCCTCCGAGGCCCCGCTGGGGTCTGGGTGTGGGACGTGCAGGCGGGCTCAGACTCAGTGGGTGGGCACGTTGGGGGCTCCAGACGCGGAGTGAGGATGGACCTGAAGCCCGGCCACCGGCAGTAAAGCAATCGAGGGACGTCGGGGGAGGGGTGGCGGGCTGGCCGCCGGAGCAAGGAGGTCTCAGAGGGAGAAGCAGGAGGCCAGTGGCGTTCACAGGCCCACCCCAGTCTCCCTCTGCCCAGGACGGCGGGCCGCGCAGCCAGCCCCCCGTCCGGCAGGTAGCCCTGCAGGATAGAAGAGAGACGCAATGCTCATTTTACTGAAACAGTACTTGGAGGATTTTCCGACATCCCTGGAAGTAGAGACAACAGCAGCAGTTGCCAACCTTTTGCCAAACCTGCTCCATTGAACCCGGAATGTTCTGCTGATTATTTGAAATAAATCCCAGGCTTCGTGATACTCCATCCCCAAATGCTCCGGACGCATCTCTTGAAAGAGAATATTTTCTTAAATAGCCACGATGCCATTTGTACACCAACAGAATTAACAATTTCTTGATATTATTATTTTATTTTTTTAATTTATTTTTATTTTTTTTTGCGGTACACGGGCCTCTCACTGCTGTGGCCTCTCCCGTCGCGTAGCACAGGCTCCGGACGCGCAGGCCCAGCGGCCATGGCTCACGGGCCCAGCCGCTCCGCGGCATGTGGGATCTTCCCGGACCGGGGCACGAACCCGCGTCCCCTGCATCGGCAGGCGGACTCTCAGCCACTGCGCCACCGGGGAAGCCCCTCTTGATATTATTTAATATTCGCTTGATATTTAAATTTCCCAGTTGTTTCAGAAATGTCTGTTTATAGCTGTTTTGTAAGAATAAGGACCCAAATAGCATCCCCGCGTTGTGTTTTGTCACCTGGTCCCTAAACCTCTTAGGATCAGAACCAGCCTCTGCGCAGCCTGCACGGCCTCAGGTCACAGAGGCCTCAGACCAGGTGGCGTAAACGACAGAAACCTGTTTTCTCGCAGTCCGGAGGCTAGAGGTCTGAGATCCCAGGGTCAGTGGGGCCGTTCCTCCTGAGGCCTCTCTCCTCGGCGTGTACTTGGCCATCTTCTCCCCTTGAACTCACGTGGCCAGCCCTCTGTGCAGATCTGTGTCTGAGCGCCTCTTGTTATGTGGACCCCAGTCCCGCCGGATCAGGATCCACCCTAATGACCTCATTTTAACTTAATCACCTCTTAGAAGGCCCAGCTCTAACTACAGTCACGTTGTGAGGCCCTGGGGGTTTGGGCTCCAACATAAGAATTTGGGGACACATGCGGCTCCTGACACCCCTCCCCTTTTTCATGCCAGTGGCTCGCTGAGGCCAGTGTATCCACTGTCCCACTGGCAGCCCCACACTCTAGGATCCCGTTTCCTCCCAGCATCACCTAAATTGGCTCTCACCCCACACTTCCCTGTCCCGGAAGTTGGCGGGACCGCCCAGTCACTCCACTCAGCCTTCTGGGTGGGACAGCATCACACGTACCGCAGGGCTGGCCCTGGGCGTGTCCGTCACCGGACGCCACGTCTGGGCCCTACTTCTAGTGGTGCGAGATTGGCCCATGGGTTCAGGTGGGCAGTGCTGGAAGCCCACGTCCAGCGGGTGGGCTGCAGCTGGGGGGCTAGTGGGCGACTTTGAGAGCACATTCGATCCGTTTCTAGCGCCTTTGTCGTCTAGGTTAGTGATGCTGTCGGGACTTTTCTTCTGGAGCTTGAACTTAAGCCGAAGGTGGTTTGTTCCTTTCTATTCTTTATCATGAACTTGGCGGGGAGCTTGCAAGGAGCAGGCAGGTGATTTGGATAATCACATGCGGAAAAGGACCCCTACAGCCCTTGCAAGGTGGGCTTGGCTCTTCACTCCTGTCCCCACGTGCAGGCTCCTTCGACAGAACCCTGATCCTTTAACAGCGCCGCCAAGGTCAGACGGCACGCCATGGCTGAGCCTGTGGGCTCCGACCACCCTGGGGGAGCCTCCCAGCCACAGACGGTCTAGATGAATGAGAAGCAGTGCTTGCTCAGAGCAGAGGTGGGCACGCTTCCTGTACAGGGCCAGGTAGTGAGTGTCTCTGGCTTTGGAGCACGAACGCAGCTACAGACGTTATGTAGCAGAGGAGCCCGGCTGTGCTCTGCGTGGCCCAGGGCCCTCCTTTGCTGACCCCGGGCTTCGAGGGTCCTTGGCCTGGGGGTGGGGAGGCGGTTACCCTAGGACCCCTACCAGGGTTTTATTAGCCGTGTGACTGGCGTGTTTCCAAGCCTCTACAAGGCCCCGTTTCCTCCTCTGCAAAGTGAGCAGAGATAACAGCCGAGGTGTTGAGGACGCGAGGATGCGGGTGTTGGCTCGGGGTCCCAAGCCCAGAGCCTGCACGGGGCAGGCACACCGCCTCCTGAGGCGGGGGCTGCTGAGTGGTGTGGCGGGCCCCGCCCTGGTCCCCTGGCACCACCCCGTCTATACCCTGGAAGGCTGCCTCGTAGAGCTGGGAGGGGTCAGGCTGTCCTGCTGTCCTCAGAGAGGGGCCTGCAGGTGGCGCAGTCGAGGCCCTGAGAGTCACGGGTTCTGGAGCTGAGCCTGACGGTAGCGGAGGGAGGCCGGCCCGCCCCACGCTCCTCTAGAACAACCTCATTTTTCTCCAGCTCACAAAGGAAACACGTGGTCGTAATAGTCCAAAAACACGAGCGTAGAATTTGGAAAGAAGGGTCCCCCATGACCATTCCCAGCATTACCACGTTAATGTGACTTGACTTGAAGTTGGGGAGCTTGGTCCCAGGTTTACAGGCCTTTCCAGTTTCGAAGGACTCGGTCTACAGCTGGGAGAGGGGCTGTTGGGAGGAAGACCCTTCCGGACGGTCACGCTCCCGGCAAGGACCAGCTCCAGTGCCGTCGCGCTGTCAGTGTCTAAAGATTCCGCACTTTGGAAAACCACCCGGTAAAGCCTGGACGTCAGGAGACACGCTCCTCAGCCTGCCACCCCAAGGAGGCCACCGCGTGTGACTGCTCGCACACGGGCCCCTCCCAGCACGCTCTGCTCCAGGCCCTGCTTCTCTCTGTAGACAGCGAGCACGTCTTCATGGATCTGGGGCAGAAGCTCAGCAAATACTTCTCAAAGGACTGGAAGAGAGAAAGGCATAGAGTGAGCCAAACTGCCAGGCGGGGGAGGGCAGGGGGGAGGGGCCCGGGAGGCCCAGCTGCTGGCCCCCGCCCCAGGTCCCGGCGTGGAGTCTGCCGGGCGCAGGGAAGCCAGCCCTGTGGGTGCAGGTGCAACGCCCTCCAGTGTTCTGGACATTTGCCCCGCAGTACAGACCTGAGCTGTGGCCTCGGGCTGGGTCTGAAGCGATGCAGATGGTGCTCCCCCCTGAGCACCAGCCGGGGTCAGCCCCCTCCCCCCAGGTCTCAGCACCGCTTTCTCTCCACCCTTCCAGCCCCAGGGAAGCGGCAGGCCCGGGGCCCCCTTCGTGGCCTTCCTCAGGGTGCAGTACTACGTGGAAAACGGAAGGCTTATCAGGTAAAGTCGCTCGCTGGTTCTCTGGCACGTTCCCGGAAGGGTGACCACCTGTCAGGATGCGGTATCGCTGTTGCTTGGGGGGCAGAGGCGCAGCCATTCTTTTTAATTAACCAACATGTAAAGACTAGGGCAGAAACGAAAGTGTTTCGAACACAGGTATTTTATGCCCTAGGGTGGGGTTTCCCAGGTGTGTGCTGGAGGGTCTGCGGATTCCTCTGTAAGCGGGGCCTCCTCCTGCTCTGGTCTGCGCGCCCAGCTGCTGGTGCCCCATCCGGGTGGGAAAGGGCCCCAGGCTGGCACACCTGCAGGGCCTCCTTCTGAGTTCCTGGGCCTACTTTCCCGAGAGAACCCCACCAGAGCATGTGGGAAAATACAGATGCTGGGGCGCCCCCAGAGCGGGGGCGGGTAAGCGGGGCCCGTGTCCCAGGAGCCCCCTGAGCAGGTGCAAGTGGGCCGGGGTCCCCACAAGCCTCCCCAGGCAGAGAGCTGGTGGGGGGGAAGGTTCTGGAAAAGTCTCGGAGGGGCGAACAGGCAGGTTGCGGGGAGGGAGCGTGGCTGCCCCGTGCTGTGGGGCCAGTCGCTGGTGGTAGTGTTAGAAGATCTGAACTTGTTCTTCCCAGGGGCCCTGCTCCCTGTGTGTGTTGGGAAATTAGCAGAAGAAAGGGGCCTGTCTCTTAGGAGGCGGCTATAAACCAGGTCGGCCAGTCCTGGGTCCCAGGAGCCCTGCCCAAAGTCAGGCTCACCTGGCTTCTCAGCAGCAGGGGGGCGGCAGCACGTCCACCTGTACCTCCCCCGCTTCGGGGCCCTGAGGGTCCTGGGGCCCTGGGGCAACGAGACGGGGCGTGGCGGGCGGGGAGCGGTGACTGGCGGGGTGGGAGGCCGCAGGCTGCAGGGGGACGGCGCTCCCGAGCCCGCTCGCCCGCCAGGGACAGGACGGCCAGGCACCTGTACTACTGCCACCTGAAGGAGCGGGTGCTGCGGTCCCAGTGCGCCCACCGGGAGGAGGCCTACTTTCTGCTGGCTGCCTACGGGCTGCAGGCCGACCTGGGCAATTTCCGCGAGCCAGCACACTCGGGCCGCTACTTTGAGCCGCAGGCCTACTTCCCACAGTGGGTGAGGCCCCTCTCTCCATCCTGGCCGCCACCCCCAGGGGCGGGGGGGGGACCCCGGGCTGGAGGGGGAGCAGGCTGGACAGATGGCTGGCGGCTCCCTCCTCAGATCATCACCAAGAGGGGCAGTGCCTACATCCTCAGGCACGCGCCCACCCTGCACCGTGAGCAGGGGGGCCTGAGCCCCAAGGAGGCCGTGCTGCGCTTCATCCGGGAGGCCTGCCGGCTGGAGGACGTGCCCGTCCATTTCTTCAGGCTGTACAAGGTCCAGCTGCGGGGACGCCGGGTGGGGGAGGGCGGCTCAGGCCTGGGACGCACCTCCCCAAGGGTCCACAGGGCGGCCGGGACCCCGACCCAGGACAGGAGGGCCAGAGTCCCCACGGCTGTCCTAGGGCCGGGACCCCCAGCCACCATCAGAGGGGAAATGGGAGGAGGCCCGGGGACCCCACCTCAGCCCTCAGGCACCCCTGGTCCACCAGCGAGGGTCTGCGAGGGGGCCACAACCCCAGGCCAGGGGCTCTAGACCTTGCCAACGTCTGTGTCCTCTTAGGATAAGAAGGAGGACCGACCTACCGTTGTCCTGGGACTGACCCTCAGAGGGGTGCAGGTCTATCAGGTGACCGGCAGTGGCTCTCCTCCCCATCCCCCTCCTCTTTCTCCTTAACGGCCCCTCCCCTCCCCCACGGGGGCTGGTCTTGCTGCTTCCCTCTGGCTGGCCCTGTGCACGCGGCCCTGCTGTCTTGCAGGAGGTGAACCGCGCTCCGCAGCTGCTCTACGACTTCCCCTGGCGCCACATCGGGAAGCTGGCCTTTCTGGTGCGTGTCTGATGGGGTCGGGGCTGGGGTCGGGGGTGTCTTAGCCCCCAGGAGCCCAGAGGAGCCTGGCAGACGCTTGTCCTTCAGGACGTTGACCAGGCATGTCATGGCCCACGAGGTGCAGGCACAGCCCGAGGCCTGGGGAGTGTCCCGCATGGAGACGGCCCCGCCCCCTGGAAGTGCCCTTCTGCCGGGCTGGGTGTCCTGGCTCTCGTCACCAGGAGGACTTCTGGCCCCTGGGTGGGGACAATAAAGGGGGGCGAGGAGGAGGCCGCAGATGCGCTCCATCCAGACGCCCTGGGCCGGGCTTGGCGCTGGGCAGGTGGCAGGGACGGTGGGTCCTGGGTGCAGGCTGAACTCGAGGGCCCAACACGGCCGTGGGCCCACAGGGTCCACCTCCCCCGGCCCAGCGCGGTGGGCGCCGGGTCACAGCTGCCCTGAGGCCCCTCCCCCACCCGCACCCCCAGGAGAAATCTGGTGGCAGGACAGAAACAGGGGAGCCCCCAGCAGAGGGCCTGGCTGATGCTGTTCTCTGGCTTTCTTGGTATGTCACATCGCGTCTCTTCTCTGCTCAGGGCAAGAGGTTTGAGCTCTGGCCGGACGGGCTGCCCGCGGCCCGGAAGCTGGTGTACCGCACGGGCTGTTCCTGGCGCTCCCGCCACCTGCTGCACCTGCTCAGTAGCAGCCACCAGCTGCACCTGACCCTGCAGCCCGCGCTGCAGCGGCTGCGGCAGCTGGAGGAGGCCCAAGGTGGGGCCGTCCCCTCCGCGCCCACCCCTCCTCTGCGGTCTAGGTCGGACACCGGGCGCGGCAACCCGCGTCGCACCCTGTTTTCCCAGAGGGGGGCTTGGCAAGGGGGTGGTGGCGACCCCACTCCTCCAGCTCTCCTGGGGCCTGATTCTGAAGATGGGGGCCGGGGGGGAAGTGAGGCAAGGGCTGCAGTAACCCCCACGCGGTTCCTGGAGGCCCTGGCAGTGCACGCATGTGTGTGTGAGCGTGGAGTGCCTGTGTGCACATGTGTGTGTGAGCACGGAGTGCCTATGTGCACATGTGTGTGTGAGCACGGAGTGCCTGTGTGCACACGTGTGTGTGAGCATGGCGTGCCTATGTGCACATGTGTGTGTGAGCGTGGAGTGCCTATGTGCACACGTGTGTGTGAGCGTGGAGTGCCTATGTGCACATGTGTGTGTGAGCATGGAGTGCCCGTGTGCACATGTGTGCACACCTGCTTGCGGGGGCTGCTTGGGGCCCCTCGCCCTGAGACCTGGGAGCCCCAGGGCCGTGAGCACACGGGCGAGTGTTAGGAGCTTACCGGCTGCCTGGGCTTTGACAGCGGACACTCGGGCCCCTGACCTCTGGGTGGCAGTTCCCTCCCCCGACTCTGCATCTTCCTGGGCCTGGCGGTGGGCTGCACCCCTGGGCCTCTGTCGGCCACCTGCGGCTCCATCTCCAGCGCTCCTCCCCCTCCCCCCGCACAGAGAAGAAGTGCTACCGGGAGTCCTGCGTCAGCGACGTGCTAGAGCTGGACCTGGACCTGGACCTGGCCAGCAGGGCGTCCCCCGGCTCCCCTGGCAGCGGGGACAATAGGGACGGAGGCTGGCGTCCCCCGCACCGCCTCTCGCTCCTCTCGTCTGGCAGCCACTGCAGCTCCCGCTCGTCGGGCATCGAGGCCGACTCCCAGCTGGCGGAGCCCGTGGAGCCCGGGGAGATGTCGGTGGATGAGCCCGTCGTCGGGGCTGCCGCGCTCCACGGGGAGGAGCCGCCCAGCAGCTCCAGGACCAGCCAGAGCAGCCGTGGCACAGTTGGTGGTGGCAGCGGTGGGCCTGAGGGCGACACCCGGGACCAGGGGGAAGGTGAGTGTGCTGCTTGGCTAGATGCCGGCTGGGTCATCGCTGTCGGTGCCGGGAGAGGCTGGGGTGCTCGTCACCCTGATTCTGGGGACCTTGTTACACAGGGGCCCCTCCACCACAGGGCCTGGGAGCAGAGAAGGGAAGACAGGGCCCTCCCTGCAAGACGCGGTGGGTGGTGGTCCTTCAATCCCCCTGCAGCTGGTAACTCCTAGGGAGCCTGGCCTGGCCAGCGTCCCTCATGTAAGATCCCATCAGAAAGCATTCAGCCACGTTTCTCTCTTGCTACCCACGGGGTCAGTAGAAGTCACATGACAGTTGGCCACTTATGAGCCATTCTAGGACCAAGCACCCACCCGGCTTAGCAGGAGCTCCTTGTCCCCAGGGATGCTTCTGCAGTAGGTCTGGGAGTGGGGGCCCTGAAGTGGTTCCTTGTCACCCCAGGAAGGTTACGCAGGCTCTGCTATTCTCTGAGCACCTGCAGCGTCTTTGAGAGTGGATGCAATGGGTAATCGTGGGGACCAGCCTCAGGGCCTGGCCACCCAGGTCCACCTAGAGTCACCCAAGGTTATGCAGGGTCACCCAGCATCACCCACGTCCACCCAGAGTCATTCAGGGTTACCCAAGGTCACCCAGAATCATTCAGGGTCACCCAGTGCTACCCAGGGTCGCCTAGAGTCACCCAAGATCACCTAGGGCCAACCAGAGTCATTCAGGGTTACCCAAGGTCAGCCAAGATCACACAGTGTCAGGTGGTTTTGGTCAACCTGCCGTGTCCACCTGTACATTCTGAGCGATAAAGGACAGATCGGTCTCCAGCTCTGAGGTTTTGCCCAAGTGTGTGGTCTGCAATCTGGAATGAGCAATAATAATGATAAGATGCTGTTTGCCCAGTAAGCACCTGCTTTGATTAGACATCAGAGCACTTGGACAACTAAAGCAGCCCAGTGCGGAAGGACAGGGCAGTGTGAGCTGGGGGGGGGGGGGGGCGGGGGGGGGGGGGGGTCCTGGGGGACCATGCAGGGAGAAGGCTGGGATAGGCGGAGACCACCTAAGGGGAGGAGCCCAGGTCGCCCACAGAAACCATCGCTCCTCGAAAGGGCTCCGACACCTCACGTGGAGAAGACACGTGATAGTCTGGGGTTCCAGATGACCTGCAGGGAGGAGGCCAAGGTCACAGCCCACCTCTCTGTGACCCCGAGGCCTGAGAGGAGGGGTGCGGGAACCATAGAGGCACCCAGTCTCATCTCAGAGTTTGGGGCCCTGGGGTGGGCTGCCCTCTGCAGGGAGCAGGCGGGTGTCCCCGGGCCCTGCTCACGTGCCCTCGCCCTCCTCGCAGCCTCTCCCCAGCAGCCCTTGGCCGCGGTGCGGGTAACGCTGGTGAGCACGAGGGGCCCGAGCGCTGAGGCCCTGCACCAGGTAGGTCCCCACGTGGGCCAGGTGGCCTCTCCCTGTTCTGCATCGCGCCTCGTCAGGTCAGGGGCCCTAGGCCCACCCGAGGGTCCCCGGGAGACTCGTTGGGCAGTGGGGGACCGCTGAGGCTTTAGGGAGCGAGGCGGGTCGGGAGCTGGGTCCTCCGCGGCTGAGAGCTGAGAGTTCGGCCTGCCGTGTGGTGCGGCCCCCGGCCCCGCCCCCGCCCCCTTCCCAGGCGGTGGGCGGTGTGAACAAGGCCCGCACAGGTCGGGCCCCAGGAGTGCGGGGCTCTGGGGGGCTGCGCCCCGGCCCCCAGGAGCAGGAGGGGGGCCAAAGCCAGTGGCCCTGGGAGGTGGAGCAGAGGAAGCGGGGGCTGGAGGCGCCGGGCCTTGCTTAGGGCGGACCTGGGGGAGCCCCAGTGGGCGGGTGGTGACCCTGGAAAGAGAGTGAATGTTAGGGTGCGATTTGACTCAGAGGGAGGCGGGCGGGCGGGGGCCCGGCAGGAGGTGGGAGTTCAGCGGGGGCGGGGGCGGGAGGGGGAGAGAAGGGAGGGGAGGGTGAGGCGGCTGCAGGACGGCCTCCTGGTTTCTCCCTGCAGGTGCCGGAGGCCCGGGCGGCAGCCGGCCCCGCGGCCCCGCACTGCCGCAGCGTGGACGAGGCGCGCCCCGCCCCGCGCCCCGCCCCGCGCCGCGCCCCGCGCCCCGCCCCGCGCAGCTGCCCCCTCCGCCGCGCGCTGGACCCCGGGCCGAGGAGGTCCGTGAACTCCCGCTCCCTGGACCTGCTCGGAGAAGACCACCACCCTGAGGAGTTTGTGGTGTAGACGCCTCGGGGTACCGCTTCACCCCCGCAGGGCCCCGTCCGCGCCGCACGGCTCCGCCCACTTGGGACTCTGTCCCTGCAGCGCCGCTCCATCCACGCGGGGCTCCGTCCATCTCTCCGTCCACGTCTCGCCGGCCCTCTCTGCCCTGGAGGCTCCCACCTACCACCGCCAGGCTGAACGGGGCCTCTGGCACCGCCCCTTTTACCTGGCGGCTTTGCACCTTCACCTGTCTGAGGGGTGGAGCCAGCTCTGTCAGGCCTGGAGGTGCCCACGAGGTCTCACTTTCCCTGCTGCTCGGACTATGGCCGGTCCGAGCATCCTTCGAGGTCCGCGGCTCCAGTCTCTGCGCAGTGGCGCGTGGGCCGCGCTGCCTCTAACGCTCGAGGGAAGGTGTCTCAGCTCAGGGGTCCCCAACCGCCCGGCCGCGGCCTGTTTGGGGCCGGGCCGCACAGCATGCCCTCCGGAGCTCGCATTACCGCCTGAACCATCATTCCTCCCACCCCCACCCGCCACCCCGCCTGTGGAAAGATTGTCTTCCACCAAACCGGTCCCTCATGCCAAAAAGTTTGGGGACCAATGTCCTAGCTGCTCTCGGACATTGGAGAGACCTCTGGGGTTCCCCTGCCACCAACTCCTCGATGGATGGTGAGACCAAGAACAGCAAGCTTCCCGGGAGTCCTTGAGCTCACGGTCACCGTCGTTGTCACTGCACTGGCCACAGGTTCCCCAGACCACCCTCTCTGCAGCCCCTGCTGTTCACAGCCCTGGGCCCACTGGACAGAGGTGCCTCTGTGAGCCGTGGGCCCAGCTGCGTCACCCCAGACCCTCAGCAGAGCCCACCTTGTCCGCCGTGTGTACACAGAGGCACCGGGCCTGGAACCGCACAGCCACGTGGACACTGGTCCTGTGGAGCTGGTGGCAGGAAGTGGGAGGGGCAGGCTAAGGAGGAAGCCGTGATCTACTCTCACTCACAGAAGGAAGGCTCCAGAAGAAAGCCCGCCAGCGCAGAGCCCGAGTTTTCTCCTTCCCATCACAAGTCAGGCTGTGAAGGTGGTCCTTCCCCACCTCCTGCCCCAGTACCCACCCAGCCCAGAGGGCGTCTGGGCACCAGGGAGCCGTGGCATCTAGTCAGCACTGGTCACCCCCCGCCCACCGGCCATTCATTGCCCCTGCCCCCTCCCCGAGTCAGAAGACTGGATGGGAGGTGGGGACAGGGATGGGTCCGGACCGCCAACACCCCTCGTCTGGGGCAGGAGACCCCTTCCGAGCGTCGCCACCTCTCCAGCTGGCGGCTCCACAAGTGGCTGAATGGCTGAGTGGAGTTTCACAGCGATTTCTGGAAAAGCATATTGAGGGACTTTGACCTTCGCTGGGGGCCGTACTGGCCGGTGATTAAGAGGCCAGTGAGCAGGCCGAGTGTCCCGCTTGGGGCTGGACCCGCCGGGGTCGGGCGCCCGGAGGGTGGGCTGTAGTTAACGCTGTGCTTTCCTGTCCAAGTCAGGGCAGCTGCCCCAGGGCTGAGACATGGCCCCCACCGCCTCCAGGGCCCTACGTGCAGGGGGCCTTCTCGAACCATCCACTTCATGGACAGTGCAGAGTGGCTGCGCTGAGCCCAGACGGCGGAGGGAGCTGGCCTCAGGCTGGCGCTCTGTGTCCCCAGAGGGAAAGGCAGGGCTGGTGCCGTGTCTCACCTATCTCCTGACCCCAGCTGGGCCCTGCATTCCTTGCTCTGGAACAAGTGGGACTCCACGGGTAACACCACCCTCCCAGCCTGAGGCTGGTGACAGGCACGTGGCGTGGTGTGGCTTAATTCACCTGTGCGTCCCTCTGGCCCTCCCCCCCCCTTGCACACCTGCTGCCCTCTGTCTGGATGCACTGACCTGTGTGTCACTGTCAGATAGTCCCAGATACTGTGCCCGAGACACCATCGTCCCCTCCCTGTTCTGCTCACGCCTTGAGGACCCCACAAGGGCCGTGTTTTGGGGACGGGGTGGAGCCTGAGCCCAGGGGGCGGGGTCTGCAGCCTGGCCTTAACCGGGCCTCTTGGTCCTTACTGTGAAAGGAAATCGCGCTCGTGCTCACACCGCGCATGTGTAATGAAGAGCTGCACACACGTCCGTGTGTCTGCACCTGGGCAGCCTGCGCCGGGGGCGGGGCGCCGGGAGGCTGGGCGGTGCGGCCACACGAGTACTAGATTCTCGCAGTGAGGGTTCCTGGACAGCGAGAGCTTCACCTCGTGAAGAACCACGGTGTCCTAGCGCTGCGTGGACGGAGGAGCTTGGACGGGAGACCAGCCCCCGCCCTTGGAGTTCATATTTGTCTAAGTCGTTTTTTAAAAAAGCATGGTGGGGGCGGCTGAAGGGCGGTGCTGCCGTGGGGCACGGGCCGGCAGGGTGGCCAGGGGTCGGTCGAGGTGGCCTCATCTGCTCAGTCTTTCCCTCATTAAGCAGACGTCACCGAGTCAGGTCACGTGCCAGCACTGGGTGGACGCCAGACGGGGGCAGCACCCCCCAGCACGGAGCGCGGTGAGGGCCAGGGTCGGCCGTGGCAGTGCTGGACCCCGGGCCGCCCGGGCCGCCCTTCAGAGTCCCCTGTGCAGGAGGTGCCCACATGCCCAGCTGGGCCTCCCCGAAACAGGGCTCCCGAGGACACCTAGCCTGTGTCCACAAGAGCAGGCGGCGAGGGAGGTGTGGTCCTGGAGGACGGGGTTGGGCCTCCAGAGCTGTTGCGGGCCTGAGCCCTTGCTTTTCCGTGAGTTTCCGAGGTCACACTGAGTCGGGTCCCCATGGTAAGAACTGAGGCTGCATCTGCCCTGGTCTAGGGTCCTTTAAAGGAACTTTTGGGAGCAAGAGCGCAGCCTAACGGACTGCTTTGCGGTCCCACACACACCCATACGTGTGCACACGCAAGCACACGCGTGCACACGAACGTGGGCAGAAGTGGTGAGTGGGCGCGGAGCGGTGGAGGGAAGCTCTCACCGGGTGCCCACTCGGAGCCCCTCGCGGGAACTCGAAGCTCCGGCGTCTGAGCGCCGGCTCCCGCGCCCGCGCGTCCCGCGGCTGCCACGAGAGGGCGCTGGCGGCGCGCTGTGGCTCCGGGGCGGCAGGGACCTGGGTGCGTCCCGCCCCCGCGCGGCTCAGGGGCGGCTCTGGAAGGCGGGGGCGTGGCCGCGGGGTTGGGGGCGGGGCCGCTCAGGCTGCGTGGCTTCCGACCTCGAACGCGGGCTGCGCCTGCGTCTGTCACCCCTGATCCAACCCACCCCGACTTGAGGGTGGCCGGCGCCACGGGTCGAGAGAGGCTGCGCGCAGCCCGTGTCCTTGGCGGAAGAGGCGGCAGGGACCGCTGGCTGACCCCGGAAACCACCCGAGCCCTGTTCCTATTTCTGCGCTCCCTCTGGGCCTTGCGGAGACACGGCAAACGGCCGCGTGTCCGCTCAGCGCCGGGGCTCCGCGGTGGCTGGGCGGCGCCGCGCCCGGGTCTCCAGCCCCGCCCCCTGCGGCCTCCCTCCCCGTCCCGCCGGCCCGGAGGCCGATGGCCGGCAGAGGGGGCCCGTCCCCAGGAGAGGAAGGAGGCTTCTGTGCAGCAGCGGGAAAGCCGCCTCTTCATCTTGCGTGGGTGGGGACCCAAGGCCTTCCGGGCAAGGCAGATGCTGCAGACGCCCCGGAAAACGGGTGTTAGCCAGCAGGGGCCGCAGTTGTGAGGGGTCACTCAGGACTGACCCACCTTCGCCCCGGGGGTCGTGTGGCCCCCAGGGCTGCGGGGGGCGCCCCGACACGTCTCCCTCCACACTCGTAAGGGCTGAGAGGCAAGACCCCCAGGCTCCCTCTGGACGCTGGAGGGCGGGCGGGCAGATGGCTCAGGAACGAGTAGGCCGGACATGACCACCGGCTCCCCCGTGAGGCCGGAGCTCACGCTAGCAGGTCCAGTTCCCGAGAACCCCGAGGGCTTGTTCAGGGCCAGCCACCCGCTGCTGGGCCCTGGGAACCTGCATGTGGACCAGCGTGGCCCATCTGCCCCGGGGACTCTGGGGCCAGAGAAGCACCGCAGCCCAACCTGGCGGCAGGTGTTTGGGGGCCTCACCCTCTCGGTCATGGGCCAGGACTCCAGGGTACGTGTCCAGCCGGCCACCTCCGCTCTGTGAAGCCTTTTCTGCCCAACGGCCCTGGCTCCCTCTTGGGAGACAGAATCCGGGTTCAGGGTGTCCTTTCTCCAGGAAAGCCTGATGCCCCAAGAAGGGCTGCATGGGCTTTGAGACCCGGAAGAGAGGACCGCGTCCCTCAGCTGTGTCCGGGGACCCTGGGGGCAGGCCCCACCCGGGGCTCCTGCGGTGGGGACTCTGCGGCCCAGGCACGGAGGAGACGGGCAGGGCGAGCTGACCGCCAGGCCATGGGCATTGGGCTTTGGACCCCATCGGCATGTTCACATGGGGACACCGTTTGGAAAAATGTGCAGGACTGGGACTTTTTAACCGTCAGTGGTTAAGCTGGCTGTCCACCCACCGTGCACCCCGTCACCCTCCCCGTGGGCGGAGCCGGCGGGCACTCGGGGCCCAGCCAAGGGGGAAGTGGGGTTTGGTG